AATGGGTGTATAGAAACAAAATGAGTGAAGATGGGCTCATTGTTAGGAACAAAGCTCGACTTGTTGCTAAGGGGTATTGCCAAGAAGAAGGTATTGATTTTGATGAAACATTCGCCCCTGTAGCTAGATTGGAAGCTATTCGCATATTTCTAGCTTTTGCAGCCTATAAGAACTTCAAAGTTTATCAAATGGATGTCAAGAGCGCTTTCCTAAATGGACTTCTTGAAGAAGGAAGTATATGTTGAACAACCACTTGGCTTTGCAATCAATAATGAGCTTGAAAAGGTGTATCATCTCAAAAAGGCTCTTTATGGCTTAAAGCAAGCTCCACGAGCCTGGTATGATACTCCCTCACACTTTCTTATCAATTGCGGCTTCACGAAAGGAGTGGTTGATAAAACACTCTTTTGTATAAAAGATAATGACCATATTCTTTTGGTACAAATCTACGTTGATGACATTATCTTCGGAAGCACGAATCCAGTCCTATGTGAAAAGTTCTCTAATCTTATGAAAGGCAAATTTGAGATGAGTATGATGGGTGAACTGAACTACTTTCTGGGTTTGCAAGTCAAACAATGCCCAGATGGAATATTCATAAATCAAGCCAAATACACCAAGGATTTAATCCGAAAATTTGGCATTGATGGAAAAAGTTCGGTTAAAATTCCAATGAGCACATCCCTCAGAATGGACATTGACAATGAAGGAAAGGATGTTGATCAAACAAACTTTCGAGGTATTATTGGTTCTCTCCTATACCTGACAGCAAGCAGACCTGACATTTCGTTTGCTGTTGGTGTATGTGCACGCTTTCAAGCTAAGCCGAAAGAAAGTCATCTAAGTGCAACCAAAAAGATATTAAGATATCTTAAGGGAACGCAAAGTGTTGGTCTCTGGTATCCAAAAGATGGATCATTTGATCTAGTTGGATACTCAGATTCTGACTTCGCTGGATGTCGGATTGATCGAAAAAGTACCTCAGGAACCTGCCAGTTCCTAGGAGGACGAATTGTGTCTTGGTTTAGTAAAAAGCAAAACTCTATTGCCACAAGCACGGCTGAAGCCGAATACATAGCAGCTGGAAGTTGCTGTGCCCAAATCTTATGGATGAGACACCAATTAAGAGATTATGGCATAAATGCACGAGAAGTGAGCATAAAATGCGATAACACGAGTGCTATCGCTATTACGAACAATCCTGTGCTGCACTCTCGGACCAAACATATTGACATCAAGTATCACTTCATTCGGGATCATGTCGAGAAAAAGAACATATCTCTTGAGTATGTCAATACTGATGATCAACTTGCAGACATACTCACGAAACCCTTAAGTGAAACAAGATTCTCTCTTCTAAGGCATGAACTCGGAATGATTGAAATGACATAAAGTTTAGAGAATCAAATCCGCAAAGATTCTTGCTCTCGGAAATCAAAAGATTTGATTTATTCTTACACGCAAGGATCTTTATAAATAAAGAACAACATGAGAACAAATCTCATCTAACAAAGTTTCTAGTGTTTGTCCTTACATGTGCAGGAATGAGTACGAGAAGCGAAAGAACCATTACGGAGGCACGAGAAGGAAAGAGTGAAGTTCTTAGTGAGCCACTAGTGACTGAGCAACAGCTCAATCAGTTCCTTGAACACGCTCAACACATAAGAAGCCTTCTCCGTAACACGTCCGATAATGAGTCACGAGAATCCTACCACTCTGTTGGCAATCCCATTGGATATGTCAAAGAGAACAGTGTGCTGGAACAAAGCGACAGTTTTGACTACTCACCCTCAGGCACCCCCACCAAGATAGCATCTCCTCTCAAGTCCACTGCAAGCAGCAAGAAAAATAAAACTTGAATACCTTTGTTAGGCCACGGTGACAAATTGTGATGTTATCTTGTTCATGATCCTTTTAATTTATGACTCTATCATTTTGTCAGTATCTGAAATATTTTGTTAAGATTCGCACGTTATCTTTTGCCTATATATATTATTCTTCTATTCCATGAGTTTTACTCACTCACAAAGATTTTAGAAAAGGATAAAGATTGCAGGAATGGATAAGGGAAAAGAAAAGAGTAACGAAGCTGAAAAAAGGGCCAAACGGCTAAAACATCATATGCGAGAAGCCGACAAGCTTCCGAATGCCACCGTCATAAGGCTTGAAGAAGATGGAGAAAGGGTCTTTGTCACCTACTCCATGCCCAACACAGCACCAATGGACAAGGAATCTCATGACTTCTTGATCAATGAGTCCAGGGCTACAAGAGCTTACTGCATGGAACAAGCCACTCGGCTTGCTAAAGAGAAACTTTTGATGATGAAAAGGTCTAATGAGCAAACATCTTACGAAGTTCCTCAACCTAGTGGACAATCCTCTGTGGATATCACTATGGTTCACTCTCGGCCCGTAACTCAGTCACCCGAACCCACTCTCACACTTGAGGAGTTGGATGAATACGCAAAAATGACAAATCTGACTGACGTGACCGAAGAGATGACTCGCCTGGAACTTCACGTGCCGTATCGTTTTCTCTAAGCTTTTGTATGCTGTACTCTCGTGACCTGGAATCCTCGTGATCTAATAAAATTTGCTGTCTTTTCGTACTTATCCTCTCTTGCTTATAAAGACTAATTATCTTGTCTATGCCTAACTTTATATGTTACTTGTCCAAATCACAGGAAAGATCAACACTTATACGTTTTCTGGTCAAAAAGGGGCCATAATTTTATGCGTTACTTTTCCTTAAAAGAGCATTGAAGTTAGAGTTTCATATAGAAACAAGATAACAGTCAAAGTCGTACTTGAAATTAATGACTTCTTGACTACAGTTATAAGCATTTATTGTTGCGTTGAAATTAATGTGTAGCAGACACATGAGCTTTGTGGATTACTTGCTATAAAAGGAGGAGAATTCTTCACATTACACTCATCCCTCCTCTCTTTACCATGGCTCCAAAGAAACCTTTCACCAGAGGTGATTCTCATAAGCTGAAAGAAAATGCCAGACGTCTCAGGGAGGAACAGGGTGATCTCTACCCTGGCAATAGTCCACAAGCACCGGTGGAAATTCCCTCTGACTCCGATTCGTCTCTTAAGTATGAGGATATGGCAGGTTTCATCGTCGAAAGTGAAGAGAAGACTTTGAAAGATCCCACCAAGGCTCCAGATCCAGACTATATGGCTTTTCTTGCACAAGAGGACTTCATGGAAAAATATGATCAGGAGGAAGAACCCGAATCCTCATCAGGCTCAAACTTTCCACGAACCGGGAAATGGTTCAAACAAATGCTAGGAAATGTGAAAAAGGCCAAAGGAGAACCATCCGAAGTCAAGAAGAACGAGAGGAAGAAAATTTGATCTTATTGTGTGTTACTTTCGTTTATCCTATGTACTTTCCTCTCTCGGGTCTATGATGAATAAACTGGCTCTAGTTTCCTTTAATCGAGACGTTATTTGCCTAATCTATCGTCTGTCTAATAATCTCGATTTAGGAATAAAATTCTTGAAAAAGAATATGTTCTCTAAATAGTGTCTTGGATAAGACAGCTGAATATACCTTTTGAGAAGTTCGGTCTATCTATTTCAAAAGTTTTACTTTCTTCTAGAGCACGAAGAAAAGCATCGTGTACTGTACTCTCTTGCTAAGGCCAAGGCAATGGCTGACCTAAATGACATGGAAAGACGAAGTCTTTCTAGACAAATCTTGAGAACAGATCATGAGACTCTTATTGCTAAAACCCTTTGCTCATAAAAGGGAACATCTTGAGTATGAACGAAAGAAGAAGGATTGCATTATGGGAAGTCTGCCTTCCAATGCACGAGAGATTGCAACTGCTTTCACTGAATATTGTTTTGTGTAACAATTCTCTCGGGAGATACTTTTGTTGCCATAAAAGAAAGACATGTTTGACTTCTTTTATCTCACAAATCCAATGTTTTGAGAATTACATCCTCTTTCGAGTTTGGAATCATGACCAAACATGCTTAATATTTGAGCCTTTATCTCCAACCGTTAAGATGAATCTCAATGGGATCATGTGGCCGAGAAAAGTGGTCCACTTCCCCACTTTGTCTGATACATGATGTGACGTGCATTTAATGCACCTATAAACACTCGAGTGATTTTCTCTCTCCTCATTAAATGAGGGAATGATCGTTTTTGATCTGCAAACAATCTTATCACTCCCCCATGATGATCAGTTACCTTTTGGAGAAAAAGAACCGGAAGTGATTTGAATTTTAAACCGTTCATCTTTAAATGGATCATCCATACCCGGAGACCCGGAGTTCTATAAAACCCCTCGTAAACCTCTCTTGATCTTTTTACCCTACCTTCCTCACTCTTATTTTTTTTACAACTCTTTGTTTCTCTCAAATCCTCAACCATGGCAGAACATCCTCAAGCATCACCATCTAATCCTGAACCAGAAAATCCTCCCACCATGGAAATCCCAAGCTTTCCAACAGAGGACCTAAGATTCATTGAATCCAGAGTACCCTTCATCGTAGGGGGAAGTATGTGGGACGCACATGGATTCCTTGAATATATCTTGGATAGAAATTTTGGTGAACACATCATACATCTCCTTACTGAAACAGGACTATACAGCTTCGTCACACAGCTCTATACTGTTTGGCACCCGGTTGATGTAACCCAGTTTTATATGAATGCTTCAATATCCTCTGATTATTTGACTATCACCTCAAGAGTCAATAATCATCATGTGGTTCTTACCGCAGAGGACGTTCGATCAACATATGGGTTTCCACAAAGAGATGAGTCTTACAAGACAGATATTATCTACTATCATCTCGACCCAGAGGACTTCTACGAATCCATCAAGAACAATCACGCACCATCCAAGGCAGAAATCTCATGGCCGTTGAAGAAGAAATGGTTCCGGCTAGACTATGAGTTCACTGTTGATATCTTCAATAAAATCGTCGACCACAAGACCTCGGGCACAGATGATGTGACGAAGGAGAAGTTGAAAATGCTGCATGCCTTCCTGAACGAATTTAAAGTCGAATGGTCGAAGATCATTTTCAACAATATTGTTCACACCATCACTTTTCATCGAAAAAGTCTAGGTGACATTGCGAAGAAGTTGGGATATGGTTTTGTGATAAGCCATCTTCTGGCAGCGAAAGGAGTCGTTCTGCGCCCAGGAATTCGGCCTGGTCAGAAAGCATGTCATATGAAACAAAAACCATCAGGATATGACAAGCAGAAGGCGTTGGAGTTGGGAATCCCTATTGAGCAAGTCAAAGCCAAGCGGAAATCAAGAACACCTAGGGTTTCAGAAGATGAGCAGCCCAAGCCGAAACGACAAAGACGAGAAAAGCACTCCTCTCGGAGTAAGGCGAAAAAGGGCGAAGAATCTTCAGCTGTTCCAATCTCACCAAAATCTCCACAAAAGAAGAACGATCCTATTCCACCTTCCCCTCTACCAGAATCAATCATAGTCAAAGACTCATCTGAAGACGAAGATAATTTAATTCTCTCCAAAATTATCAAAAGCAATCACTTTCGGTCTCCAGTCAAGGCTAAATCTTTCCCGAAGAAATCTTCTACACCGAAAGAAGCTACACCGAAAGAAGGAGACACGAAAGATGCACTTTCTGAGGGGGAAGGTCAACCGAAAGATGTTCTTCCTGAGAAAATTCCTGATGATCAAGAACCCAAGTCTGATCTCGGTTTTCCTCAAGACCACCATCCACAAGAACCTACTTTGGCAGATCAACTCCTTCGAGAGCTGACACAAGAACCTGCTAATGTAGACATGGAGGCCAGTCGCTTAAGTCTTCCACAAGAACCTGGTTCACCAGAAAAGATGAAAGAAGCGACTGATGCTTTGATCGCTTTGCCTTGTCTGCCACAAGAACCTACCAATACAGAGCAGGTAATTCTGACACAAGAACCTGTGTTGGTAGACGAGACAGCAGTAGTGCAGGTACAACCCCCGATCATCCCGAAACCATCAGCCCCTGCTCCAGAAGTAAAGGTTCCTCAACCTTCACCAGATCAGTTACTTAGAGAATCCATTGAACGAGATTACAAACGAGTTCAACAATGGCAAAAGTGGCGCACTGCTCCCCTGCGGATCTTTCTTGAATCTTTTGAAGCAATGCAGGATGAAGAGGATTTTGCACTTGCATGGATTGGCACTGATGATCTTTCAAAAGCTCTTCGAATTGAAGAGATCAATCGCGTTTTCTCTTACAAGATGACAAATCGCACTCTCGGAAAAGATAAAGCTCCAATTTGCATCGAGCTCAACAAACCACCCTTGGATCCAGTTTATGAAGAAGAACTAAAGCAACTTCGATATGCCATGTTGCTTTCAAATATCAAGACCACTTTAGAGAAGGAACACCAAAATGATCCAAATTATAATGTCAGTGGCACGAAAGATGAGCTTGGACGAGAGATTGAAGAAGGCGAGAGTGATGAAGGTGAAAATGAAGAAAATGATGATGTTGACGATGCTGATGATGAGAATGATGATGATGATGATGGGAATGATGATGATGATGATGAGAATGATGATGATGATGATCAGATGGGCAATGAAGGTGCTCAAGAAACCGAACCCGAAGACAGTCACACAATTTTGATCGGTCCTGACTATGACACCTACCCTCAGAGATCTCCCTTAAGAAGACTACCATCTGACAGTGAAGACTCGAAAGAAGCTTCAACTACTCATCCCGAAGATCTATCTCGCGCTATTGTTCCGCATATCCAACCCATAGACGAGACTCCAATCAAGCACGGCAACGAAAGAATGTGTGAAGGCAAACTGGAAGCTTCACCAATCCCTCTTAGCTCAGATAGTGGTGGAAACCGAGAAGCACCACCTCAAGATGATCACATGAACGCATCACCAACAAATATTGAGGAAGAATCCCCTGCGAAGTCCCCACGAACTATCATGAACATCATGAGAGGAACTGTTCATTCAGCCGAGACCATCCATAGGCAATATCTTGCTTTACGAGAAAAGGACACGAAAGTTATGGATGATTTATGCAAAAAGGTCGACTTTCTGATAGCAGCTCAATCTAAACCTCGATCTCCACCTCAAGCACAGCCTCAATCGCAGCAACAAAACCAATCAGATCACAAGGTCCTTGAGCGAATGACAAAGAAACTTTATGATCTCGAAGCGTCTTTGAACAAAGTTGCGCGACAACAGCACGAAATCAAACACTCTCATTTTGGTCTCAAAGAGCGTATGGATTTGGCCTGTACAAAGATTGACACATATCAGGACAATTCGTACCAACTGGGCGAATATGCACTTCAAATTCTCGGATATGCTCAGGATATCTTGCTTGCAATCAACAAGATCTCTTCCATCCCTCCTACCACCTGTGCTAATGATGCCAAAAAGGGGGAAAAGAGAAATGATGACAAAGATAAGGATGATGATCAGCCGAGAGATAGCACGAAAGATCAACCTCATGAAGCACGACACTCCCCATCTCGTACACCAAGAGTCTATGACCAAAGAAACCCGAATCCATCTTCCAGGTATCGTGGCCATCAATCATCGAAGTCAAGATATGGTCGATACCAATCCTCCAAACAAATCAAGCCTCGACAATCATTTGGTTCTGAAGCCAAATACATCTTCACAGGACTGCCAAAGAGAGAACAGATGAAATTAAGGCAAAAGCTTATGAGAGACAACAAAGTAACTATGGATGGCATATGAAACTTTGTGGACTTTGTCCCATATGAAGAAGGCAGTGGCAAACGATTCGAGGGTTGCAATAATCCCACTTGGTTGAAAACAAAAGACAACCATACAAGACAAAACCACATGAGCACTCAAAATGAAAGAATCAAAAGAGCAAACAAAGAACTGTGGAAGAAGCATGATGAAGAGAAAAAGAGAAGAGAAGATGAAGCAATGGAAAGAAAGAGGATCAAGAATCTCATTGAAGATCTTTCGAGTGTAACCAAAGATTCCCCACAAAATGTCATGCATAATGCAGCTTTCAAAGTGCACAAGGAATCAGGAAAGAGCTACCAAGAAGGCATGAATTCGTTTGAACTGATCTCGTGGTGGAAGCATGGTATTGTTGAAGGAAGCAACATTCGGGAAGCCTACAACAATTACACTGGTCTGAACATCAAAGGAGAACATGAAGAGCTTGTCAGGACTAATCCTATCAAAGTCTTCAGGGCAAAAATCAATGAGAAAATTGACTTCAACAGGATGCTAAGGCGACAAAAAGAAAAGGATGACCAAGAGCTCAAGGAAGCTGAACGACAGAAATCAAAGCTTTTAGAAATGTAAGTTAACTTTTGCTATATTCCTCTTATGAAGTTTTTGTAATGATCACATCTTTATATATGAAGCTCTCATTGTTACACATCTCGTGTCACCTGTTTGAGTTACTTGTCCTTATATCGCTTATTAAACGCTTTTATCTAGAAAAAGACTTGTAAACTCTCGAGTATGGCTGTTCTTAAATAAGAAAAATCCTTTTGGAACTTTTATCAGCCTTATAAGAAGAGTATAGGTTTTGGCATCATCAAAAAGGGGGAAATTGTTAGGAACATTGTATTAGGATTTTGATGATACCAATGTAATGTAGAAAAGTAGACCCCTGACCATTAGCTGTTTTTGTTTCGCTGCTTTCGTCTTAGACGAAAGTTGCCATAACTCCCTTGTAATTCGTGTTAAGCTAGACAAACACACGAAAATGAGTTATGACTAGATGATAGGGTCTCCAAGGCGAAAGAAGACACGAGACATGAAAAACAACAACAAGAGTAAAGCAGGAGTTGTCAACAAACACGAAAGGACAGTGTTTGTAAAAATGATCTTTGTTAAACATTACTTCTTTTCAACAACGAGGAGAATGTTTCACCTATCTGATTTGACAACATCCTAGGACAATAAGGACTTCATCTTATGGGACTCACTTTTCAAGAAGCATTAAATGAAGATGTACTATCTCTTGGAGCTAAAGGACAAAACCCTAATGCTTTCCATACCTTCAACGGCTACATGGTACAACTTCATTAATGGAGCATTTAATGCAGGAAGCTCCCCGGTCCTTGTCCAATGGTTAAAAGGTACGAAAATTTCATCTCCCTCCAACGGATGAATTTTCATCACCTATATAAACTCACCTTCATCAACTAAGAAGGTGCTGGTTCATTATCACTCGACTTACTCACGTACAAAAGCTCTTGAAACATCTACAATTTACAAAAAGCTTTTGTGAACCAGTTTTTGAGGTGTTAAGTTATTTGGAGAATCACTTGTCTTATACCTCAAGGAAGTCTTGACATCAGTTTGTAGCTATCATATCTCAGAGTCAAGATCTCTACGTTGGAGAATTCAAGAAATCTTTTTCTACCAACCTCAACTCAGGAGAAGAAGTTGATAGAGGCGGAGTAAACTCAAGGAGTTGAAAAACCTACGAAGGCTGTCCGGCTTAGTGATCAAGGAAGTCTTTGTGTAATTGTACTAAGAGTGATAGTGCAATCCTTCCAACAATTGTGGAAGAAGAGTGGAGTAGGCAACATTGGCCGAACCACTATAAAATCTCGTGTCCTCTCTATCTCTTTACTTACATTCTTTCATTTTGCTTTCAGATCACCTCTTCATTATCCTTACCGAAAGTTTGTCTAAGTACGCAAACTCGTGCAAGTATTTAAAACGAATCTATCTTATCCGCTGCGCCAAGACACCGAAAGGTGACGTTTAGGGCCTCTAACGAAAAGAGTCTATTCAACCCCCCCCCCCCCCCCCCCTCTAGACTTTCATCTCACTCTATCGGGACCAACAGTATTATTTATTAATTACAAATAATACATCTCATACTTGATGAACATGGAGGATATTACACACTGAGATTCTGCATTACATGAAATGACAACACAGTTATTTGCAGAGTAATTATTGTCCAAACAAGAGTTATTATTCTCACGTTCAAGAATCAATTCCTCAAAGTCATAGTAGTCTTTCCAACATCCTGTCAAGTATGCATGGGTAACCAATAATTAAGGACAACACTACTATGAAGATAAACAGATTAAAAACCCAATTAAGGACCACACTACTCAGTTGTTGCACACGCCTTATCTTACAAATGCACAAACTATGAAGATAAACAGAATAAAAACCCAATTAAGGACCACACTACTCAGTTGTTGCACATGCCATACATTACAAATGCACAAACTATGAAGATAAACAGATTAAAACCGAATTAAGGACCACACTACTCAGTTGTTACACACGCCATAACTTACAAATGCACAAACTATGAAGATAAATAGATTAAAAACCCAAATAAGGACCACACTACTCAGTTGTTGCACACGCCATAACTTACAAATGCACAAACTATGAAGATAAATAGATTAAAAACCCAATTAAGGACCACACTACTCAGTTGTTGCACACGCCATAACTTACAAATGCACAAACTATGAAGATAAATAGATTAAAAACCCAAATAAGGACCACACTACTCAGTTGTTGCACACGCCATAACTTACAAATGCACAAACTATGAAGATAAACAGATTAAAAAACCAATTAAGCCACCACGCCGTCTTCTACACCCTTTCAGCTCGGCATGCACAGTCCCTCACCGGCGTTTCCTTCCCCGGTCACTACGTTAATTGGAATTGCTGTAGCTATGTAATCACATGGCAGTAATAGTTATTACCATTCTTAGGTTGGCTATTACTATGCACAATAATTCATTAATATTCTACCCAAAAATAAATACACATTCAAAATTACGTTAAACTCCCTATCCTTATAATCTGACCAAAATTATTTCCTAAATCTCTTTTAATCTAAGCCATCAAATTTAAATGAGTGAATGCTAGTGATGGGATCTCATGATCTCATTTTAATTAGGTACCTCATGGGAACCAAAGCCTATATATATATATATATATATATATATATATATATATATATATATATATATGGTATATGCAATATCAAAGAACTAGGCACTAGTAATTAAATGAAAATAAACAATAAGATAGTGTTATAATTTTGGACTTCTTTAGCTTAATCTACGGCGACGATTCAATAGTAATCTTATGCCAAGAACATAGTCCAGAGAAGAAAGAAGAGTAAAAGTAAAGGAAAACTAGAAGCAAATGGAGGTACATGATGACCAAAAAAAGAAAAATAAAAAGAATTTAAAGGTAATTAAGCAATATGAGGTGTGGCAATCAAGCAAAGATCAGCCTTTCTTCCCACATATAATCCTGGTTTCTCCATCATGTCAAAAGAATCAACAGTAACTCCATTAGGGAGCTTCCAATCAAAGTGGAAGAGCAAGTGAGCTAAAGGAGAAATGGAGTTTGCAAAACCAAATGCATATCCTGGACACATCCTCCTCTCAGCACCAAAAGGCAAATACTGGAAGTGATTTCCAATGAAATCAATCCAACTCTCCTCAAATCTCTTGGGTATAAAGCTCTCTGGATCTTTCGAGTACTCGGGATCCCTCCCTATGGCCCAAGCGTTGATCATTACTTTTGTTTTGAGCGGTATGGTGTAACCATTGACAATGCTTTCCTCCCTGCACTCCCTTGGAGAGAACACAGGAAATAATGTCTTTCTCGTCCAATGTTTCTTTACCTTTAAACACATGTCTCACCTCTGTTTGTGCTTTTGCCATCATCATCGGATTCTTCATCATTCGGACATGGTTTACAGTTTAAAAAAAAAAAAAAAAAAAAAAAAAACCTCTAACGGGAACTGAACAACAAACGATCGTCGTCAAAATTAAAATTCAAAACTACGTCGTTTAGGACTAAGGTCCACAGTACACAGTGGATCCTGGTCCATGGTATAACGATTGTGCTAAATAATATCAACTGTACGAAGTTGAATTTATTCCTCGGTATATCATCTTCCATATATAATTACATTTATTTATTTAAAGATAGTTAAGCAGTAGGAGGAGCAGCAGCAGCAATGAAGAAAATGTCATTCTTTACTCCCATGGCCATTCGAGGCAACTCTGTGAGCTTCAAGGTATGAGGTGTGATTCCATGAGGGAGTTCCCAATCAAAGTGGTAAAGCAAGTGTGCCAAAGGAGTGTAAACACTTGCTAAACCAAATGAAATGCCAGGGCACATTCTCTTTCCACTTCCAAATGGCATATATTTGAACTGACTACTTCTAGTGAAATCCATGGGGTCATCCTCGAATCTCTCTGGTTTAAAGCTCTCCGGGTCTTCCCAGTATTGGGGATCCCTGCTGATGGCCCAGGCGTTGATGAGAACTCTTGTTCTGGGCGGAATTGTGTATCCACACACCACACTATCTTTGTTGTTCTCCCTGTATATCACAGGACCTGGAGGATGAAGCCTCATAGTTTCTTTGATCACTAGATTCAAGTATGCCAGCTTATCCACATTGCTCTCTTCTACCCTTCCTTTGAAAACTTCCCTCACTTCGGCTTGTGCTTTCGCTAACACCCTCGGATTCTTCACCATTTCCACCATGGCGCACACGGTGATTGTCGTTGATGTGTCCACTGCTCCTCCAAACATGTCCTACGTACATTCCCACCCACCCTATTAGATAATTAATTAAGCAATGGGCAGTTCAACTAGTCACAAACGTCAAATTTGTCACAAAAGACCAAGAATCGAGTTTCACTAGCTATCTACAGTAACGAAGCAACCTCTCAAATGAGAGGGCTCATTGTGCATAAAGATGCAAAAATCTAGCAATCATGATTTATCCCACAGTCCTATTAGGCCGAAAGGGCTTATTGTGCAAAGTGAACAACAGTCTAGTTTTTGTTGCATCAGTTTAGTAATCAGATTTATGCCATAGTCCTGTCATACCAGGATGTGGGGTACATGAATGGGTGATTCCACTTTTTGTCACAAGATAATTAACTAAGGGTATTAAATATAACAAAAGGAAGAGGGATTATATTATGTATGAGTGCACATACGAGAATTATAGCTTTGATGTTGTCGTCTGTGATAGACATTGGAAGACTGTCGCTATCCTTTAGCTTTATGAGGACATCAACTATGTCCTCACTACCTGATTCTCCACTTCCCGTTTTCCCACTACCTAAGTTGTTTCTGTGCTCCTTTATGATGTCTCCCATGATTTCATCTGTCTCTTGCCGAACTTTCACCATCCTACTCTTTTCTCCAGTCAGAAAATGAAGGATTTTCCAAGAGGGAAATGTATCCGCCACGCTAAAGCTACTCACCATGATCAATATTTCGTTCACAAACTTAACCAACTCTTCCGTCCTGTTCAGTGTCTTACCTGCAAGCCCAATTGGAGTAAAAACTTACCAATAATAATAATAATAATAATAATAATAATAATAATAATAATAATGTAAAATAGCAAGACATGGGTAGTTCAACTAGTTCTATAGGCAAGAACACAGAATTAAGTTATGACAACAATTAAAATTACCCTAATGTGATAAATTCTTTGTGAGCACCCAATCATTGACTTAATGGCGGGTTCATAATATTTTAGGATTAAAAGACTAAAACGTGTAATAGTCCACCTCAAGCACCTCCCCACCCCGGCCCTACAATTTGTGAAGGGATAAATAATGGTGAACAGAGGCTATACTTTTGCTCATTGTATACAAGGAACCCCTCATTTTGATGGGTTGCTCCCACATTATGGCTGGTGAGACTCGTACTTTAGTTTTTTGTAACAAAATTTACTGATCAGTTGAGTTACCCATGCGGCGGCTAAATTAGCATGATTGGTCTTACACTCTTAGTCTATCTCCAACGGGTCGCCAAAGCACCAAAACAGAAAAAAAAAAAAAAAAAAAATGGCATTTGTGGCCTCCAATCAAGTCGGCAAAACACCAAACTTTTGCCTCAATGTGAACAGTGCAGCGCCAACTGTTCACCGGCACCAAATTTTATCTTCTTTTTGTTTCTCATTTTGCCCTTATTTTTATTTGTAATTCCTTTTATGTCTTTAGTTTAGTTTTAATGTATTTGTGTTAAATATAAATTTTATGTTATTAAAATTAAATTATATCATTTGAAAGATCTGGACGATTAAAACAAGTCTAATATTGAACATATATTAAATAAAAATTAAAATACATAAAGCTTAATTTTAACATAATTAAAGTTTAATTTATTAAATTACAACTATATGTTATATTAAAATAATAAAAGTATAAATATAAATTTTTAATTTATGAGAATATAAATTATTTTAGTGTAGAAATAAAATTTGATGTAATAGGTTGAAATGAAAAAAATTTGGTGTAAGAATATGCTGAAAATATTAATTTGGTCCAGAATTTGGTGAGAGGGTTGAAGATGGTCTTACCAAATGCAGCTCTACAAATGATGGAGGTCATAAATGTGGTGACTTCATCAACTATATTGATTGGCCTGCCAGCGCCGGATGATGAACGGACACGATCCAATAGACGATGGCTCTCATCTTGCCTGATGTAGCTGAAGGAACGTACGGTTCTGGCACTGAGGAGTTCCGTAATGCAAACTTTACGCATTTGCCTCCAGTATTCACCGTAAGGACTAAAAAGGATGTCAGAGCTATCGTACATGACCTCGTCGGCGGCAAGAACTCTGGGTCTACTGGCGAAGTCGAGATCGTGAGTTTTGAGGAACAGTTTGGCTACCTCGGCTGACGAGACCACCACAACAGAAACTTCTCCGAGTTGAAGGTGCATCAGGTCCTTGCCGTACTGTTTGGACAAGTCTCTAAGGGTAACGTGTGGGAGTTTTGCGCCTACTAAATGGTGCATGTTTCCGATGAGTGGCAGCTTCCTCGGTCCGGGAGGTAACTTCCGGCCGCTTTTCGGCTTCATCCATTGTCTAAGGACAAAACTGATGAAGGAAAGAAAGAGGCAGAAAGAAATGAGGTTCACCATTATACTATAGCAGCAAGAAATTAAAATTAGCTTGCTAGCTTACCTTAGCTTAGATGGAGATATTTCAGTACAGAAATGAGTGGCTGAGAGCTAGGGGTTTTATAGCCACAAAAACGAAGAAATAATGAATTATATTGCATGCATGACCTTTCTAGGTCGGCTAAAATTTTGAAAATTAAAACATATAATTGACTATAATTGACTAAGTGTTATAAATATATATATTAAGTGGACATTATTAATGTAACGGATGTAACGGTCTGTTATTATGCTCATCATTATTGTACCCATTATTACATTTGTATATTATATATACATTGTAGCTTTTGTACATGAAGGAAGAGGTTGAATAAGAATTCCTTTGTGCAATCTAGTTTCTCTCTATTTTGTTTTGCTCTTTTACTTTCTAGCTCATTGTCTCAATTCACCGGTTAGGAGCTAACAAACCAACGAATTAATCACTTACAATACGTTATCAGCAAACTCTTCCGGTGAACGGTATCTTTATTTTCTAATTAAAGTTCATAACTGTTAAAATTGCCAACTAAGTGCATATTTACATTGTGAATTCCTGTTGATTTGTATTATATGCTTTAATATATATATATATATATATATATATATATATATATATATATATATATATATATATGCTTTAATATATATATATATATATATATATATATATATATATATATATATATGCAATTTGTCTTTTGTGTATATACATTGATATAAAAATATGAATGTCGGTAGTTCTCTGTATGTGTATTCATATTTGCAAGCCATGAAAAACTTTATACATCATAAAAATACAGATATACTCCGTACAATATACACACATATACATATGTGAATTTTTTCTGTAAAAGAAAAGTAATCCATGTTGTTTATTAAGATCTATAAAAGAAAATAGTATCCATATTTCTTTTCGAAAAACTATTTTGAAAACCAGCATCCATAAAAGAGAATAGTTTTTTTTTTTGCAATAAAAATATCTGTAAAATTTTATTCTTCGAAAAAAACTAATGTTCACAGCATAATTTTTTTTCGAAAATATGTAAGAAGTTTTCGTGGATGATATTTTTTCAAAACTACATAATTTTGTTTCCAAAAAGACTTTTTGTATTCAAAAACAAATAATAACACAATCAAAACCTGCTCTTGGTCAATCTGCTACCGCTGTTATCTGTCTCAAATCTGCGTCCCTGATGGTCGCAACATTGGATATTTTTGCTGGCTGTATTCCGGTTGGAGATGCGGCATTGCGGCGGCGACGGTGATGCCATGTTTGCTCTGCTGATCGGCTGCGGCGCTGAGCAGTGTGGCTATTCCGATCTGACCGAGGGAGGATCGCCGACGGCAGTACCCATTGTTGTCGTTGTTGGTCGTTAGCTTCATCGCATCTCCGCAGGGCTCTCCTTTGTTATCGCTAGGCAGATTTTTTTTGGATAAGAAGGGTCTCATTCCTTCTTTTTGTTAATTGGACTGGGTTTGGGCTTTTTATTGCTCAGATTGGGTTTACAAAAGAAGAGGGCAATTTATATCCTACACCACGGCGCGCGTTGTATTATGCGCCCAGATGCAAAACAACGTCGTTTTAATTTTTTTTTTTTTTTGAAATTTTCCGCCCCAGTGAATGGCAGTAGTTTTTTCTTTAAAAAAAAAAACCCGCTGTTCAAGAATATACATAATGTTATACTAGAATACACATAATTGTATACATGAATGTACA